AAAAACAGGAAAAGAAAAGAAGAAAAAGGAAGTAACGGAAAAATTTTTTGATTATCTAAAAATTGAAAAGAAAAAAGAGAAAGGAAAGTGTGAAAGAAGGAAGAGAAAAGAAAAAGTCAAAGGAAATAAAAGAAAAAAAGCAGCAGAAAAAAAGATTAAGTAAAATTGAAAAGAAAAAGAGGGCAGAAAAGTATTGGAAAAAGAAAGAAAAAGAAAGAGAACAAAAGAGATTTGAAAAGAAAAACGAACAAAAAAATTGATAGAAAAATAGATTAATTAAAGAATGAAAAGAAAAAGTGAAAAAAATTGGAGGAAAAAAGAAGTAAAAGAAGATAGAAGCAAAAAAAAGCAACGAAAGAAAAAACAAAGAAAGATTAACTAAAAAATCGAGACGAAAAAAAAAACGAAGAAGTATCGAAAAAAGGAAGAAGAAAGAAAAATAATAAAAAGGAGGAAAAGAAAGGAAGAAAGAGAAAAAAAAAGAACATAGAAATAGATTAACTAAAGATTGAAAAGAAAAAAGAGGAAGAGGAAAGTATATGTAATAAAAAGCAAAGAAAAAAAAAAAAGCTAAAACTTTTAAATGCTATAATATATATATATACTAAAAAAGGAAAAAAAAAATGTATCTTTTAAATATATATTTACTTCATATAACATAATGCTTTCAAAAATTTTTTTATCATTACAAAGTAGGCGTGGCAATAGTAAATATTCATGTCATTGATTTGCGACCAATGACACCAATGAAATGTTAAGGCGGAGATAGAATGTATGCTTCTCTCATAGAAATCAATATAAAAAGGCGACAAACATTTACGTTAGCTCTTCATTTCTTCATCAAATAGCACTCGTAGTCAGTCGGTGGTAATCCATCATAAGTTGCAGCAGCAGCAGCAACAGCGGCAGCTCTTCTTAAAGGCCTTTAAGGCCAATTATTGTTTTATTTGGGCTTTAATAAAAGGGACAATTAAACAAAGAGCAGAATTTGTGATAGTAGACAGGAAATAAAATTCATTCTGTCTTACTTTCAATTCCGGAATTATTCGATCAATATTCCAATTTCATCCTACGACAACAATTTCCTAAATCAGTAATTTTTTTTCTATCTTACCTTTTTTCTTGTTTTTTTTTTTTAATTTTTATTTCTTGCTATTATTTAACTGATTGAATTTAAAAAGGAAGAAAAAAAAAAAAACAAAACAAAATCAACAATTATTCCATTTACAAATCCGGGCAATTTTTTTACCATCATACTGGACGCTATATTATTCGTAATGCTATTTCAATTCCTGAAAATATTCTAGTATTATTTGTCCCAATTCAAACAACAATGACTATCATTGATACGACAGCGGTTAATACCACCAATATTTTATCAATACCACCACCATTATCATCATCATCATTATCATTATCACCACCACCAACAACAACAACAACAACAACAACAACAACAATAACAACGATGGATTCATCAACAAAAACCGCTGAAATATTAGCTGAAAATGAAGCCCAAATTATCAATAATGATAGCAACGATATACCGGTATCACGAAAATCCGGTATTTCGTCACCGGTTATACCATTAACAACAGGAACGATCAAATCGGAAATCATGAAAGAGATCTATTGTAGTGGTTCACTTCTTGAAACGGTTCAAAAAGCTAACATCTTCCATGATTGCAAACATTTTGTTGATATGCCACTCAAAATTGATCCTGGTTAGTATTTATTATTCTCTTTTCTTTTTCTTTTTTTTTCCCCTCCAATACTGTACCGTAACCTTATCATAAATTACACATTCGGATATACCGTATATACGTTATATACAGAATATGTAATATGCGATAAGCTTGAAGCTTGATAAATTTGATACATGAAAGAGGAGTGTAATTGATTAAGATTTTTAGTAGTTAATATATGGCAGATGATAATTTGATCTCAAATAAAATTATCAAAATTGATAATTATCAGAATTGATAATTCTCAAATAAAATTATCAGAATTGATAATTCTCAGTTGATAATATCACTAATTAACGTATTGTATTTAAGTGAAAAATAAGGAATTGTCAGAATTGAAAAATGATTTGTAGCTATTTTGGCAATTTTTCTGTATTTTTGAGTTTCTTTTTTTTTTTATTGTACTGTCATATTTTGTGGGTTTGAAATTTTAATTTTAATTTTTAAACTTTTATTCAAATTAATAAGTTTGAATAGGTACTGTTAAATTGTAATGTCATGTAAATGTTTGAGGATAGTTTTGAATTTCAATTTCAAATTTCATCTATACTTTGGCATTCGGAAAAAAAAAAGAGGAAGAAAAAGGATCGATTCTATATAAGAATGATTGTTGGAATAGTTTATTGATTGATTAAGGGGTAGTATTTTATTGGGATATACCGATATATTCTTCGCGTTTTTTTTTTTTTGTAGAGAGGATATGTAATGTTCTTGGGAAGGAGTGTATGTCCTATATATTTTTTCTTTTTAGTATGCAAATGAAATGTGATGAAAGGGAAGAATGATAGGTTGAATGGATGGATGGATGGATGGATTAGTGTAAAGTGTAAGAGACATTTGGTTGGGATATTGGGTAAGCAAGTGTAGTGAAATTTAATTTACCCCATTAGACCAACATATACACCATATATACGTGCACACACACACAGACACACACACATATACGCACACACATACGCACACACACACACATACATACACACATACACACACACGTACACACATGCACACATACGCACACACGTACACACACACATACATACACACATATACACATACAGACAGACACACAGACACACACATATACGCACACACATACACACACACGTACACACACACACGCAGACAGACACACACATATACGCACACACATACACACACACACACACACATCATGCATAATCATGCACATACATCATGCATAATGGATGTGTTTTTAATGACGCATGGAATATTTGTGTATCATACTAGTTTTATCATGTGCAGGATGTAGATTCAGTTATTATTTAATTATCCCTTCACTTATTATTCACTTATCAATTTAATTCAATTGTAACTCGTAATTAATTGAAAGATAGAATTGGGTTTATTAATTAAAATTGAAATTAAGAGTAATTATACTTCATTTATTTTTATTATTTTTGTCTACATACATACACATCCTTCATTTTTGAGGAACAATACTGTCACATTGATATAATCATGACATTCCTTTTTTTTTTCTGGAATATTTTTAGTCATTTCTAATTTTACTATTAACCAAATTTAGAAATTTTTTTGCAGAATCAACATTGAACGATTGGCATGAATTAATTGGATCCGGTCAAATTGATGAGAATTCGCTACGACATTTCATTGAAAATCATTTTGATGAACCAGGTGGTGAATTAGATACATGTGAACCAAGTGATTTTGATCCAGAATATGGTAAATTTGAATCCATCAATTCACCATCATATCGGCAATGGGCAAAGGAACTTCATCGAAAATGGCCTACATTATGCCGTAAGGTAAGCATCATTTTTCTTATCCTTTTCAAATTTCACATTCAGGTAAGTATGGGACGAAAATTTGCGAAAATAATTCTCTTTCAACTTTGTTACATTTTAATGTTTGCGTTGTTTGGAAGCTTCTGATTAAGTTGCTAGAATATTCTGAAGAAATTTGAAGCCAAGAAAGAAAGAAAGAAAAAAAAATAACTTGATATGTTATTAGATCCGATTGTTGATACTCGAAATTTCCTTTCCTCTCTAAGAAGCTTCCGATTACAATCGCTTAATGCCAAGGTTTTAAAGGGATGAAATTTATTGAGGATGATTCCCAGTGCTTCCTTAATTTCTTCCTTATTGTCCCCATAATTGTTAATACTATCCGGATCCCTTCCCTATGACAATGAATTTTCTTTTTTCCGAATTCGGAAAAAATTTTTTTTTTTAGTGTCAGAATGTAAATTTTCTCCAACTTATCACCAAATATCGTTAACATTAATTGGTTATTACAGCGGAAAAGACAAACATTACAAACTATTAAAACGTACATTTGAGATGGTACATAAATCTAATGCCTCTTTTCCGACTTACTAATTAAGGAATTCAAGGGTGGAAGAAATTTTTTGTCAACAAAAAAAAAGCTAGAATTGAATAAACTTCAAAAAATGTCCATTACATCAAAAGGTATGTATACAAAAGTCAAAAGCTGGTCTTTGTTTTATTTCATTGACTTTTGATTGCAAGATAAAAGAAGATGATTCGAATTTAATTTACTTTAATTTGGACTTGAATAATTTTTGAAGTGACCATGGACTAAACAATACTGCAAGTTCATTTCGCCTTGTTCGAAAATGGGTGAAGTATTAGTGGTATAAGTAGACCAGCTTTAATTAGTAATATTTATAGCTAGGCTTGGAGAATATAGGTTTGAGTAAGTCGGAGAGGTGTACCATACGGTTTAGATATTTCCCCTAATCCTTCTGATTCAATCGATTTGATTATGTGAAAATTCTTTGAGAGGATTCTGGTTGCTTCCACCACATCACATCCATATTTGGGATTTTTCGCCTCAGAATTAGGAATTTCCCCCTTTATTATGCCTCCCTATTAGCCTTACAATAATTTCCTATGCCCTGAATACCTAACTTTTTCCTCCAGGTAATGCTGCTTAGTTTTCATGCTTTTAATTCATTCAGACTAGATGTGATGCTTTTCCGAGCTTCAAACAGTAGTACGGGTGATAGATGTTTGTTTTCGTTTTTATTAATTTTGAAATTTTATCCACACATCATACCGATTACTGTTTTCATGCATCAGTTATCAGTATGTTTAATTTCGAATTTATTTTCAGTTGGGTTTGAAAAGTTTAATTTCTTGCACTACCTAATTTACAGTATACCACATGTGCTAGCTTCACTTTTTTTTTGCCCTTCAAAAATAATGATAGCTTTTTTTTTTCCGCTTCCCAACAAAACGGATCTTTATGGAAATTATCAGGAAAGGAATTTTTTCTATGGGGGAATGTTCTGAAAGTTTTTGATGATTTCGGAAGAGCATCACCAAATTACTTCTGGATGTTACTTTTTCGTGATTTTAAATGAAAACTTTTTTGAAAATCATGATAAGTTGAAAAAAAAAATGCGACAAAAATCTCCATGAAAGTGTTTCATCCAGAAATGAATTAGGGTTTATGTTTGTTTGTTTCATTTTTTTTTTCACTTTTATTTTACAAGTAGGAATCTCGTATGCCGTACACAAGGTTTACAATTGAAATTTGATAAAACTCTCCCTGGACTCCTTGAAATATTTTAGGAATTCCTGCTGCTATCATCATCATCATCATCATCATCATCATCATCATCTACATCATTCAGAAGCCCGATGCACGTACACCATCGAAAACAGTTCTGAATCGCGCTTCTAAATGGTACCAACAACAGCATCAGCAATAAACTACATATATGTATATATATATACATATATATACAAACAATTACTGTTTGGGTAATCAACATGCGATGTTTCCGGTGTTTTCCGGAATTCTGCATTGTCAACAATGAGCAATGGAATGGATTGATGAATCGTCGTTTTCGTCCAGTGAAGACTACAAAAATCTTAGAGATCATTTAGGCATCTAGGAACTAGGCTTATTATAGTTCTGTAGTTTATTAGGTGATGCATCAAGGTTTCATTTGAACTCTAGGCTTCTTTTAGCTTTTTTTGCTACACAGGTATTGCTCAAGGTTTGCTTTTTTTTGTTTTATTTTTTTTTTGCATACTAACTTAGAAACCTTGATGCTAGATAGCTATAGG